GAAATTTTTAATAAATGCAGGAACGTCCTTCTCTGCTGTGCTTTAATCAGAACGTAGCTGATTCTGGCATTTTGGGGGTTTTCGGCATCGAAAAGTCCAAAATGTGACATTTTGCCACAGTTTGGAATAAGTGGATTGTTAGAAAGGCTTTCTTTTGGCTTGTTGTCAAACATTTCATCAGAAAAAAATACAAATCTCTCACAATGTCTGGCTGAACGTTCGATTGATGAATTGAAAAATAAAATTCTGCAAATTGTTAGCTTTTAAAAAACCTGATTTTATGATTTATTTATAAAAATTAAAAGAATAAACCACATTCGATTAAAAATAAAAAAAGTAAAAAGACTTACCCTCGTTTTACTTTAGTGAAGTCGAAGGCGACCTGTCGGTACGACACAGCTTTCTCGTTCAGGTAACGACTATACCGCCTGATAAACGTCGACATGTCGTAGCCTGAGACGGCAGGTGGAAGGAAAATTAAACAATTAGCGTTTCTTTTATGGTTCCTGTTCAAGTATTTGAAATCGGACACAATCACACCTTTACCTTGTAGCCCACTCTTGTCCAAAAAATTACTGAGGTTGAAAAGTGTATTCCTCGAGGCCAAGTATTGGATAAAACGCTGCGTGAGGGGTAAAGGTTTAAAGATACGACCGAAGGTGTTCGAGCTCAATAAGGTGAACACAATCGACTCACCTCGTTGCCGTAGACCATGAGGTGGTGTGTAGTGATGAGGGACTTGAACACAACCACCCAGCTGGTGTTGGTGGTCCTCTCAAACAGCGAATCAGCCAGTTGGGGAATGTTCACGTTCATCTCGTTGGTGCAATGGATAAGATCTGAAAACAAAAAAATGCAACCATTCACTCAAATTCATAACTTTAAAAGAAGCTGCTCGGCACTTCTCCGGTACAAAGACGCTCAGCTGCTGAGATTTATTTTTTATTTATGTGAACGCATCATCACTTCGGTTTGATTAGAATACAACAAAAATACAATACAATCCTACTGTAAAGTGAATATTCCAGTATCGAGACAAAAACTGACATTTCATTTAAGATATTAAAGTATCTGCCACATTGTGATGATTTTTTTAACCAAACGTATAATTCAAGCTTCATTTCTAACACATCTGTTCAGCAGAGACTCCATCCAGTGCCAAATAATCCAAGATGAGTTTTATTTGACCCGACGGGACTCGAACACCGAGCTGCTGCTGCAGACTTTTACAAAGTATACATTAACTACAGAAGATAAAATTAAAGTTTAAATGTATTTACGCCTCACAAAAATGTGTGATTCTCCTCCGTTAGGTCACTAAAATAGTATCAACACTGACGGATTCTGTCCCAACAATCAAGAGAACGAGAACATTTTTAAATGAAAATAGATTTATGGAGTTTGTTCGAATCATCATCAGTGAAGGACAAAAAACTGGAACTCTGAGTCAACAATAACATTTTATAAAATAATATTTTGCAGCCGTTTTATTAACCACTACGCAAATTGTTTAATGTGCTTTTAAATACAATGAAATAATTTTGATTTTTAGAACATTTTTGGAAAAATTAATTGGCAGGTAAATGTTTTAGTTAGACTTTTTAATTTATTACAAAAAGTTAACGGCCTGCCCAATATCGTTGGCTAAACTGAACAGTGTCAGATTCTCAGCAGACCAGAAGAATTAAGCACAACAAACTGGACTTTTTTTATTTTTACATCTTCCGTGTTAAAGAAAAATAAAAACATGCACAAGAAATGCATAATGTCTTAGCACTTAGCAAGTGCAGATTTTACATTAAGGATGTACTTTTAATGGTTCATGCCCCCAATTAGTTTTTGATTTGCACACAGTTACGAAAACAAAGTTGAAAACTAACATTTTATTATTATTTTAACGTTTATTTCTTTAAAACACCGACTAAAAATATGATTAACGGCCTACAAGACTTTGTAAATATGTGAAAAATAAATATGTAGAGGATATGTTATTAATTATAATTTTATGAATTTAAATTATGATTTATAACTCTTTAAAATTTGGGGCACCACCTCAGTCGAGGAAAATCGAAATCTTTGATTTAAAAAAGTTGGGCTCAAAAGAATAACCCTAAAACATGTTAGTTGGTTGGGAGCATCTCTCCATGTTGTTGCTGTTTTTATAAAAACAGTCAGGATCCTAATCCCTCCAACAACAGATTTAGATTTATTTGGGGGTGTCCCCCCACCCCCCACCCCCCACCACTGATAATTAATTTTAAATGTGGATGGTAAAGCAGCGTCCCTCAGCAGAGCAGCGTCTTCTGTCCCACTTCCTCAGCTGAGCGGTACCGGCTGGAACAGCCCGGCTCCAGTGGTGCCGATGACCCTGCCATTCACGGCGATGATCAGACTGACGGAGTATGTGCGCCTTCCTTTCTGTCCTATATTTGACTTTTCAAAAGGCGGGCGGACGGTGGGGGCTTTAAGTAGGACAGAACAACCTTCCAGAGAAGCAGCAGCAGTTAACTGAGCCGCCCCGAGAAGACGGTGACGAAGAGGAGCGGAAGATGAGGAACAATAGGAGCGAGCTGGTTGGAGTCGACTCGTAACACCAAGCAGTCCTCCACGTTCAGGACTTCAAACTGAATTCATTCACCAAATTAATTCAAGTAACGGCCGTGACAAAGTGTGATGCTGCCAAAACCACCGCTTCTGTTCTGTGGACGTGACCGGTCCATCCAGGAAATCAGAACTAAAACGTTTGGTTTTCATAAACGTACAAAACTTGTTTTGTTGCAAATGTTATCATTTTGTAAAAACGTTGACAATGCCACTAAATATACATGTGCTGGCAAAACAAGCATAAATGAGCAGTGCAAAAAACTTCATATAGATCATTTCAGTAACTGAGTAAAGATGAATCCATAAAGACATGAATTAGTCATCCTGGTAAATAAAATATATGTCTTTTGAAACTGACCATTTTTCTCTGCCAGTTGGGAAATCCCTTCGTATAATGTTTGTCACTGTGAAGCTTTTTAAATATAGGGCTGGGATTTCTGATGACGTCACCCCTGACCAATATAAGCCAAGTTTTCAAACCACAGCTCTCTCAAACTAAACCAGTTGATTTCCAGACGACCTACTAACAAAAATTTAACTTTGTATCATTTTGATGCTTCTGTTCCGAGACGGCCAATTTAAAAATAATACCTCAATATTGGAAAAATTCCTCATTGTGCCAGCACAGGTCACATATGTGAGCATCACACTGAACCAAGGATTAAACCAAAATGGGTCAAACTAAAGTGCTTTTTTAGATTCCCGGCTTTTTAAGCTACATTTTATACTTGAATCATCCCGATCAAGAACATTTCTAGAGATGCGACTTGTCGATCAGGAATACCCCTAGAAAATCAGTCAATCCTATTTTTTTTTAAGGAACTTTTAAACTTCTTTTTTGGTAACATGTTTTTAACAGGGAGTTGTGTTTTTTATGCTGTTGAAAATACAAGTACGGGTAGTTTAATTTGTGTTGGCAGCAGCAGTAAAACAACATTTGAAATGGACACTGAACAACACAGACTTCTTTGTCTGAAAATTAATCATTCACTAGCACGCTTTGCATGGGAAAGGGGCAAACATTTAAAGTCTTTACTGCTCAAAATCATGTTATTTATTGATACTGCTCAGAAAAGTGCTTGAAAATATTTGATGGAATTATATTTTTAGACATTTCATTCAAGGGACCCATAGAGAAGTCATTTATATTTTGATCAAATGCAGTTATTGCAGATTTTCCAGCTACTGCACTATAGCTTGCTCATATTTTATCTCACCATTTCACAATACATTCTCCGTTCAATATGACAGGTCACATATTAATATCCAAACATGTGAAAGTCTGCTCAACATCATCACTTTTTCTGACCCACAGACTTCGTTTCTCCATTGAAATTAAACTTCTTTCCTACAACTAAATATGGCCCCGGGGGTCATTTTGACCCTAGGACAGCAGGAGGGTTAAACATCGAGTCATGTGTGTTTTTAATGCTTTTGTTGAATATGTGAGTACTTTTTAATTTTGTTGGCAGCAGCAGGAAAAACGTTTAAATTGGCAATTTTAATACAGCTCATTAATCACCGACTTGTTTGCCTGCAAATCATTAAATCAAAGTCTTTTGTGATATCTGCTTGTGAAACCTGATGTTTTATCGTTTTCCCTCCTGCTTGAACGAGACACCTCCCTGGGTATGATTAGTGCGTTTTGAATCGTCATCACAATAAAGCGCTACCAGGGTCCTACAGCTTTTTATTTTTATCAAATATACTAAGAAAACATTGTACCAATTTAAAAGATTGGTTTAATTTCATTTTGCAGAAAAATAACTGAGACTTCTACTATTATATTTTAGTATTGTTCTCAAGTTATCTGCAGCAATTACTTTGAAAACTATCCAGAACTATAAATTAGATCTATACAATTTAATTTTTGATTATGCCTCCCCCGATACCAGAGTTCCACAATGAAAAATTATTTAAAATACAACCGATAGCTTCAGCAAAGTTGTGATTCACACAAAGTTTAGCTTTTCTACATTAAACTTTTTTTTTTCCCCTCAGGTCATTTTTTTTTTTTTTTTAAATCAGATAAAATGCAGTCTTGTCTGCAGATTCTCCAGTGATGCCCATCTGTGTCGCAAACATTAAAAACATCGCTGCAGCTCGAGACATTTAATCCGTGTCTGTCCACTGGAAGAACCCGAAGCTTCAAGCACCAAACTCAGAATGAGTTTGTAAACTGTAATCAAGTAAAAAAAACGTCTTAAACTTGTACCTGAAACCATCTACTTCATCTCTCCGATTACATTTTTAGAATTTTAGGAAAAGACTCAGATGTGTGTGTTTTCTTTTAAACTACAGATAAAAAAATTTAAACCTTTTAAGTTGAAACAAACTTTACTCATAAAATAAAGTGTCTAGTGTTAATTGAAAGAATCCACGTTGCCAGTCACCTTTTACATTTTAAACTGGGAAGATGGGAAAGGCCAGTGTTAGCCATTTTGGTCAAACTTTTTAGTTCAATATTTGTACAAATGTATAGACAATGCTGCGTTTGCTACGGTCGACTGACTGCAGAAACCATCTTGAAACAGGTCGACTCAAATAGGATATAAACTTTAAATGTATTTCCAAATATAAACCATTTTATTCAACTCCATGTTTCATAAGCCACTTTGCTAACAGACAAGTCTAACACCAACGTTAGGCAAAATCTCAAAGCTTAGTGTGTTGAAGTTCATGCTCAGCTACAAACACCAAATTGTGGTCCAACTCCTGTAAAACTGGCTGAGCTATAGCCATTTCTGAGTTTACTTGGGCTCGTTAGTTGCGGTGGACATCTTGAAAGGGGTTAATCTAAAAGCTAAGTTGACGAAATACATCCAGTGATTCATTTCTTAAGGGTTTCATTAAAATCTGTTGAGTTGTTCATGACATATTTTGCTAATGGACAGAAACACACAGGAAAAAAAACATTGCTCTTCACCTGTGGCATTGGGTCAATAAAGAATATAGTAAAAGGCATTAAATAACAAAAACTGAACCGTACAAGACAAATCTTACATCAAAATTTCAAGAAAAATAGATGCAACTGAGAGGATAAAAAACAAGAAGATAATCTATTTAAACCTTCACTGGGTTAACCTCGGCTGCTAACCCAACCAATCTCAAACGTGTGAACATAAAATGAAAACAGAACTCCATCCTTCACACATTCTGCATGCTGTATGCGAGTCAGCCACACCGGACCACAGGCTGCAGGCACGTCACCCTGCCAACTTTCACTCCTCGCCACAGGTGGACATCACCTCAGCGGCACAACACGTGAAACCTGCAACTTCCAACACCAAAATAAGCAACACAATCACCATTATGAACAGCTTATAGTAGCACTTTAGACTGTTCCAACCCACAAAGCACTGTGATGAGTTGGCAAATTGCACAATGCACACAGGGACAGCGTGACTGAACTTTTATCATCATTGCTGGGCTGTTTTTTTTGTTGTTGTTGTTTTTACTGTCACTGTGCATTTGCAAGTGTAAATCAACAGTATGAGGAAAAGGACTGACAGGCTGTCACTCCTCAGACTGCTAGTTTGAAAACTTCACTTCTGGGCTCTGCAGCAGCAAGTTGTTTTGTGTTAGTCATGACCAAATTGAGGAAGGAAACACTTTCTGCAGACCTCAGCCATAATCTTTGCCCTTACAGAGTCACGTCAATCTGAAGCATAAAAAACAGCTGGTTTCACATTACTCCATTACTTCTGTACAAACTGAAAAACGTAGATTTTACGGTCAGTGAACGATTTGGAGCCCACAGTGACGAATATTAACTGGTTTTCAAGCACATATGTATTACTAGGGTAGGCTACAAAACAAGCTATGAATCAGAATAGCGGTTAGCACGACGCGCTAATTTGACAGCTAACGACGTAGAAACAGATTAAACTTTTCACTACAAATAAACAAATACTGTTGCCGTTTAAAATTAAACCCAATAACCAAACAGTAGTGTGCCAACAAAGCCCGTCGTCGCCGTGAAAACGGTATTCACCGACGTTAGCATGTAGCCACCGCCGTGAAAACCGTGCAATCTCACCGACGTTAGCATGTTAGCATGTAGCCGCCGCTAAAGGCTTTGAGGCCTTCCGGCTCCACCATCGCCATAACTCTGTTAGCGCGGTGTTCCACTGGACAACGACGTGGTTTAACTTTAGCACCAACGAGTAGTTTAAAATAAACGTATATAATACTTACAATCCAAGTGTTTCTTTTTCGGACCCATTATTTCGTGCGTGGTGGCCTTGCATACTGTTTTGGACACGGCGGATCCCGTTACACTGTGCTGGGCTGCAGTTATCCTGTCCGTAATGCTCTGTCCCGACATCTTCGCTTCGCTCACCGCAACAAGAGGCGTTCAAATGCGAGGCTTCGAGCCGATAGCAGGGCTTTTAACCGGTATTTGATTAGTTTTCCTATTAAGGGAGAAAGTCCAGTTCTTCCGAAGCCTCTCCGAGCCCCCCTTCCTCGCTCTCTTTCCCCACCTCGCTCGGTGGAAATGAAAATCAAAACTAGGCTATGGCAGCCGTGGACCAGAGGAGGGCGGAATATAAAGGGGAGCGGATCTGGAGGAAAATTATCAGATAATTATATCGGATCGTTTCTCCTCCTGATTCCGTCCGAGTTCATTCAGATTTCAGTGATGGTCATTAAAAAATAAAATTTAAAATAAAAGGCCCGTTCGCTGACTCATCCAAGCCGGGTATCGGTCTCGCTCTCATCCCGTTGTGGATCGCCGGATCCCTGCCTCCTCCTCCGCCGCGGTTCCTCCTCTTTCTCCTCCTCCTCCTCCTCCTCCTCCTCCTGCTGCCACTGCTGCTCCGGCTTCAGAGGAAGAAAGAAAAACCAGCGACGAGGGGGGAAATGGCGGGTCTGTTAGAGGAGGAAAAAAAAAAGTGTCTCCAGCAGAATCAGTGGAGGTCTGGATGGGAGGATGGACTGTGAAACCAGACCACAACAGGTCTGAGCAAATGAATGAAACAAACATTTACCTTCATTTCAGACACACTGGTCCATATGATTAAACGTAAACAAAGTTAAATGAAGTAAAGACTAAAAAAAAAATGACAAGGACAAAATTCCTCCCATCCATCCACCATAATCTGCTGCTGGTTCCAGTCTGGGAGGCCCCATCTCTTTCTACAGCCACCACGTATTGTTCTTCCAGGAAGAAACCAAGGTGTTCCCAGGCCAGCCGAGTGACTGGTCTCTCCAGCGTGTCCTGGGTCTTCCACACGGTAACTTCCCAGTTGGACATGCCAAGAAAACCTTCCCGAGGTATTCAGGGGGTCATCCTTACCAGATGCACAAATCACCTCAACTGGCTCCTCACGATGTGGAAGAGATACTCTACTCAGAGTCTCTCCCTGATAACTGTTCTCACCCTATTGCTAGAGTTCATTCATTCAACCTTTATTTATAAAGGTTAATCCCATTGAGCCTTGGGGACCCATTTACAAGAGAGACCTGATTCTAACAAAGAGTGATGACAACAGTGGACAACAAAGACAACTGTAGACAATCATCAAAGAAAGCATAGAGGCTCAATGGGATTTACCTGTCTAAATAAAAGTTGAATGAATGAAATATAAATTGGGAAAAATAAAAGAAAGAAAATTATATTACAAAACAAAAACAGCTACATTGTAAAGCGATATAAAATACTAAAAACAGGAACATGTCTGCGTTGGTTTTTCCCATGAACTTATCAGATGTTTGAAGCCACTTAGAGAGGTCAAGGTCGAGAGCTTCAGATCGTTTTGCAAGATATTCCAGAAAACAGGAGCGGAGTAGGAGAAGACTCTTGCCTAGTTCAGTCCACACTGAGGGAACACTGCAGGTAATAATGTCCTAAAAGCGCACGCTGTTGCAGTCACGCAGAGACATGTAGGAGGAGATGTATGAAGGCAACAGATCAAGAAGTGATTTAAAGATGAAAATGTACCAGTGAGAGAGTCTGTGTCAAGTTAATGATGTCCAGTTAACCAGTGAATACAGGGTGCAGTGATGGGTATGGTAGTTACAGCCAGTGATATTAGTGCACCGTGATAGACAGCATCCAACATCTGCAAGGTGCTTGTAGGAGCGTTCATGTAAATAATGTCTCCATTGATTGAACTGATTGGATTCATCAAGCTTCATGTATAAATATAACTGAGTATCATCAGCATATCGTTAAAGTTTATCCCGTGGCTAATGAAAATAAGTGTAATGGTCCAAGCACTAAACCCTGAGGAGCTCCATGACTATAAATCAGAAAATTCTTAATGTCTTTTTAAGTTTATTTTTAACATGAACAAACTAAAATATATCAGATGAATGTCATTTAACCCATTCAGAGCCATTTTACATACAAACACTTGGTCCAGTGTTTCAATATGCATTAAAAAGAAAAGTTATGAACAACAAAATATCTCAGCTTTTTGAATGACCTCAGTATAAACAAAGTTTTATTCTGACTGGATTGACAAGCTAATGGATATTTCAAGCAGTACTGAGCCCCAATGTGTACTGGTATTGATTTATTTTTATTGTGAATTTTGAGGTGATGTTCTGCCAAATAGTTACCAGTATTTACTGGTATGTGATGGACTTGCGACCTGTTCAGGGTGTACCCCGTCCCTCGCACAGTGAATGCTGAACATGGGCACCGGTGACCCCCGTGACCCAAAATGGAAGAAGCGGGTAAAAGATAATGGATGGATGAATGGATATTTACTGGTAGTACCTCAACCAGCCGTGACGTCAGACACAAAGCTCGAACTATGGAAAAAGAGGTAAAAGTTTTCATCCAGCTAGGATAATGGCTAGCCAAATGAGGGCCTGACTTTTATCTATTTTCAGGCTTATAAAATAACTCTTTATAAAAAAAATTAATAATAATTGTGGTATGAATGATTGCTACGTTATCCAATAATAAATCATTAAATTTTTGCATGACATTGTTTGCTTAGTTTATCATTGTTTAATCAGCCGAACAACATCCGAGTTACTGTGCAAATATGCGTGCTGAACCAATAGTGGTGAGGGTGCTGAATGTTTCACTTCACCTGATCAGCGCCTCGAGCCAGTCCAAAAGTTACTGAACTCCCAGCAGACTGATACGTTCATCAGCCTTGGCGCCGTCTACATAAACACGGCTTATATATGCTCCGCACTTGTACATTTGCATAGTAACATGGATGTCATTTGGTTAAGGAAACAGCAACAAGCTAAATAAAAGGCATCATACAAAAGCACATTTACCTCTTTGTCCATACGCCGTGCTCTTTAGCTAATATCACAGCTGATGAGAAACTAACAACAGGTGCATCAAAAACAAGTACTGGACATGGAGGCAACTGTTCTGGTACAATGTCCCTGCCACTGTGTCTGCTTTGTTGTCCTGATGAATTCTGGGAGTACTCGCCAAGGGACACTATTTTGTGCCGTTTAGTGTTGTCATTGTTAGACGCAGCCTTATAGTGCTATTTTAAAAATCTTTGCATTGTTCTGAGTTTTGCATTATGCTGTTATTTTGATAAAAGTAATATATTATTGCTAAAATTGCCCTTAGGTGTAACAGATGCTACAGCTAGACATAATGCTGTTATTTGTGCTTGTAAATACCCAAATAATTCAACGAAACTATCATGTCATGTGAAATTGGCAGCAAAGAGTAAGTTTAGATGATATTCACATGAACTGCTATGATGGGTTTTTTTTTTTTAGCCTGGAGTTCTTCTAAGATGACAGACATCCACTTCCGTCTTGACACCGCTCAGCTAGCTATTAGCTTGTAAGTTCAAAACAAAACTTTATTTCTTCAAACATAGGTGTTTTAAAGACCTATTAACAGAAGGTAAATTATTAATTATTCAGTCTTTCCACAGAACCTCACTTTAAAGCTTATGAGAATATTTTTTTTTACCTTGTGTTTGTTATTAGCTTAAAATCTTTATCAGATAAAATGTCCTCTCTCTCACTTGCAATTTAATAAACATAAGTTTACTATTTACTTCATTCAGAGACAATGGATGTGTTCAGAAGACACATAACTGCTGTATTCTGTCTTTTGTGTATTTACTTGCAACTTTTTTTCAAGACACACATGATGATCTGTGCTGTGTTTACATTTAAAACCAAATAAATTATTATTAGCTTCTAAAAATGGACAAATTTAAGTCATTTTCAGGCACATTAAGCTAAAATTTTGTGAAAAATAGCTGAAAGCAATTCCCCAAAATGTCCCATAAGTCATTTTGATTCAAGATAAGGAAAGATATTAAGTGAGTCAGAGTCAGAGTTTCTTTATTTGTCATTCATACCACATGTGGTGGAAATAAATTGTGTACATAGGGTCCCAGTTACATCCAACAAAGTATACATTGTAAAAGAAAAACAGTAATAAGATCTAAGATATGAACTAAGATGGTTCAAAATGCTGCAGCCCAATTTTTTACTGGAACAGGCAAAAGAGATCAATTTATTCCAGTTCTGACCTCCCTGCACTGGCTCCCGGTTCATTTTTGAATTCATTTAAAAATCCTTCTGTGTTTTTAAATCTCTGAACAGGGCGGCTGTGGTTAGAGCAGTCGTCCTCCAATGCAAGAGTTGGGGGTTCAATTCCACCAGCAATCACATGCCGAAGTGTCCCTGGTCAAGACACTGAACACTTCATTGCCACTGATGTGTGTCCCATCGGTGTATGAATGTGATAAAGCACTGATTATTCTTTGTATAGCTATAGTAGAGTGCTGTATGAATGGGTAAATGAGGACACAGATTGTAGTGTAAAGCGCTTTGAGTATCTTGATAAGACAGAAAAGTGCTATATGAGTACAGGCCATTTATCGATCCTATCTTGCTGATCTGCTGCAGCCATATGTCCCACATCGCTCTCTGAGGTCAGCAGACCAGATGCTTTTATTGGTTCCGGGCACTCATTTTAAGCTCAGAGGTGACAGGGCTTTCTCTGTTGCAGGTTCAAAACTGTGGAATGACTCACCACTGCATGTCAGGTATTCTCCTTCTCTCACTGTTTTTAAGTCTCGTTTAAAAACACATTTTTATTCCCTGGCTTTTGACACTTAGTAAGTTGAGTTTATCTTGTCTGTATTTTATAATGTTAGTCTTTTCTTATCTTTACCTCTGTGGATCTATGTATTTTTTGCTATGTCCTTTGCTTGTTTTGTTTCTGCTGTACAACACTTTGGTTGACCTTGTTGATGTTTTTAAGTGCTTTATAAAGAAACTGGTATAGTATACTACAAGTTTCCCCACTGCATATTTTGGCAGTTTTTACTGGGCCAAACTGAACTGAAAGCAGAATCAGGTAACATGTTAGTTTAGTAAAACTAAAGATCTGACATAAATAGCCAAAGTGCTTATGCTTCTTGGTGCAAACATTTTTAGTGAAGACCCTCTTTACTGTGGCGGCAGGTGGCATCTACTGTGCTGTGTGTGTGGGGGGGGGGGGGGGGTTGGAGGAGCTGCTTCGGTGCCAGAGATGGCAGCAGGATCAATAAACTCATTCAGAACTCTGGGTCCATCTGTGGTTCTAAACCCAGAGACCTTTGATTAAGCGAACGAGAGGAAGTGTGTGAACAAACGTCTCTCTTTCATTAAGAACCTGCT